TGTAATTTATCAGCATCTTTTAAATAGAATAAGTCCTGGAAATACCCTGATGGTAAAGGCTTCCTTTGAGTGGATAGGGTAGGGGCAAAGGGCCTTATCAGAGCATTTAAGAAGGAGAAATCTTCTTAAAAAAAAAAAAAAGATTACCCCAAAATATTTGTAACAGCTTGTATTTATTTCCAAAGTCTGGTGTAACAAAGTACCACAAACTGGTTGGCTCAAAACAACAGAAATATTCTTTCATAGTTTTGGAGGCTAGAAGTTCAAAATTAAGGTTTTGGGAGGGCCATCCTCCCTCAGAAAGATCTAGGGAAGAAACTTTTGTGGCTCCTTCAGTTCCTGGTAGCTTCCACTCCTATTTCTCTGCCTCCTTCATTTGGTCTTTTTTCTCCTGTGTGTTTCTGTGTGCCTGTCCTCTTCTTACAAAGACATCAATGATTGGGTTTTGGGCCCACACTAATTCATTTTGGCCTCATTTTAATTTTGTTACTTGTATTTGTAAGTATTTTATTTCCAAATAAGGTCACAATCTAGATATTGGGTGGACATGAATTGAGGTGTATGTGAAAAGGGTTCTATTCAACTCACTATATGTCTGTACAGCTTCCACTTGAATAAAAATGTTGATAATTGCCAAAACACATATTATTTTGTTTGGAACCTATGGAGTAAGTACACTAGGTTTTGGGGGACATTCAAGTGAGAAACAATGTGCCATTACACATCTCCAAATTTTATTTCATTTTAACTGAAAATATATTTTCTTCTCATGAGCAAGGATGCAAACATCAGAATTTTAAGTATAGGATCAAAGTTTAAAGAACTCCTCCACATTTTTATAATATAGCTGAATCTTATTTATACACAGTATTGCAATATCTTTACAATTTTCCCTTAAGGCTTTTGCTTTAAGCATGATCCAGCATACATAGGAAGGACAAGAATATAATTTAAACAAATGAATTCGGGCTTACATTGTTAATCCCCGCTTTCCCTCATTCTGTAGGGAGAAACGAATTGTTTAAATTCCCCACACAAAGCTGTTATCTTTGCCTGAACAAGAACCCTCATGGCCCCTTCTTTAGCACCTCAGGTGAGGGGTTACTCATTACCTACTGAGACAACATACAGTCTATCTTTGTAATTTGACTGGAATGAGTAGAAAGGGCCTCCGCCTGGGGTGTGGAGTGAACGTACAAAGTGATTATTACCTTCATCAGCGCTGTCGTCACTTTCGCCGAATGTGAGACACCCCCTCCGCTCCAAGGCCTGTGATTGCGCCAGAGCCTTTGCGCTCTAGCAAGCAGGTGACGTTGCCGCTGACGGCCAGCTAGGGCGGGGGTGGGGGTTGCCAGAGGTAAGTGAGAAAGAGCTTGTTCCGGTCCAAACCGCTAGAACTCTCCCGTGGTCCCGGCAACCAGGGCTAGGGGCGCCCTCAGTCCCTCCCTCCCTCCCTCGCGACCCATACTAGCAAGCGCCAAGTCCTCAGGCGCTCCGTGCTTCCCCGCGTCACCCGCAGCCCAGGCACCCCCACGACGCTGCCATTCATTCCTCCTACACTGCAAACGCGCGGGAGCCTCCTGGGCTGGAAGAACCAAAAGGCGCAGCGGGCTCTACGAGTCCCGATTTCGGCCGGGAGTCCGCTTTGGTGCGCGATATGACCTTGGATTTACTTAGACTCCTCCTAGCAGAGACTGAAATAGACTAAGGAGACAGAGACACCATACAGCAAAGGTTACAGAGGCCAAACATGGAAACAGATTCAGAAAAGCAAAGATCCTAACACAGAGATATACAGGGAGACACGTAGAGATACACTGACATACAGAGACAGACATAGAAAGGCAATCGGAGATGAACAGACCCTGAAGAACCGCAAGAGACCCGCAGAGCAACTAGGATAAGAGAGCGCGCCAACCACGAGGGCACCACCCACAGGCCTGAGCTCTTCCCGCGCTCCTGTGGATTTGTGTCTTTTCCACTCTCCACCCGTACCCAGAGCTTCCTGCCGCCGCGGTTCTGATGTCCGCTCTTTGGGTTGATTGCCTTGCTGCTGTTTTCAGGCCCCAAAGGGCCGCGCCAGCTTTTGCACCCCTGCTCAGTCTCCTTTGCACCGCCTTCTGAGCTTTGGTGTCGGACCCTCCCCCTTTCTCTCTAAGTACCAGGCTCGCTCCCAATTTCTCTCTGGTCCCGCCCCTCCCCGCCAGCTCTTCCCAGCGTTGGTCTGTACAGTTCTTCCAGACCCACTGCGGGCCATTCCCCGCCACTGTGCGGGAACCTCCCACTGCTGCTCCTTCCTTTCGGGGGATAGCTGGGCGCGCTTCGGCCCCTCGGCCCCGCCTCTTTCTCCTGGCCGGTGCCCGCCCCGCCTCCACCGCGCCCCGCCCGCCGTTCTCTGCCGCAGTCGGGCGCTCATCGTCATTCCGCTCTCGCCGCCGCCGCCACCCCCGCCCCCCCGCTCACTGCCCCCGCCCCCGCCCGGTCCCCGCCGCCGCCGCCGCCGCCGCCGCCGCCGCCTGCCCAGCGGCCCGGGAGGCGGAGGCGCGGGGGAGGAGGCCCCGCTTGGCTCCGCAGTCCCGGATGCTGCATGACTTCATCCTTCCGCCGGCTCCCCTACTGAGCTAGGGCCGGTCCGGCAGCTAGCCCGCCGCCCGCGCCCCGCTGCAGTCCCGCGCCCGCCCCGCGCCCGCCATGTCCGAGATCCTACCCTACAGCGAGGACAAGATGGGCCGCTTCGGCGCAGACCCCGAGGGCTCCGACCTCTCCTTCAGCTGCCGCCTGCAGGACACCAACTCCTTCTTCGCGGGCAACCAGGCCAAGCGACCCCCCAAGCTGGGCCAGATCGGCCGAGCCAAGCGAGGTACGCGGCCCCGGCTCGGAGTCGCCGCCTGACCCAGAAACCCTCCGCTGGGCGCCCCCCGGCTGCCGTTCCCCGCTGAGTAGCCGCAGCTCCTGCCGCAGACCAGCGCAGCCAGCCGCTCTTCGGCCCGGGTTGTGGGGGGAGGGTCCCTGCTGTAGTGTTGTCCCCCTCTTCTCCTCTCCCGGGAACACAGTGCCCCGGATTCGATCGGTGCTCGCCACCTCTGGAAGCAGAGCCCTGGCACCTGGGCGAGGGGGAGGGGCCGGTCCCGGCATTTGGGGCTGCTTGGAAGTGGGAACAGAATGGTGGGCAAATTCTTTGGGATCAAATGCTCAGTCGATGGATGCTACGAAGAACCTTCAGGTCCAGAGGGTCGTCCGACTGGAGGGCAGAAAGGCCAGGGGTTCTGTTGTCCTGGTTGTTTGCATGGGGAGGGGGACTTTGTTGGTCCCAGGATCGGAAGAGGGGTTCAAGTAGCAAGAGGTTTAGGTGAGGGAGAGGGTCGGATTAGCTGCATGTTCCGTTTGAGCCCCATTTGAGAAAGGGGTTCTGTTGAAATGAGGGTTGACGAGGGAGGTTCTATGAGCTAGAGATATCTCTGGTCAGCTCAGATTAAGGAAGGCTCAGGTGGCGGGAGGGTTCGCACTGGGAGGCACAATTGCCAGAGCTTTTGGAAGAGGGGCGTTCCAACATAGGGAGGGAAGGGGGTCTGTGGGAGCGAGGCTTGGTAGCCTGGAGGGAGGCAGGAATGTTTGGATGGGGAAGGCTCGGTGGCACCGGGTTCCGAGGGGGCGTCGCTGGGCCGGGGGGCAGTAGCTACGCGGGGCGCGAGGACGCGGGGCCCATTCTCGCCGCCGCCCCCCGAGGCCGCGCGGCTGACGCGCTTTCTCCCTGCGCAGTGGTGATCGAGGATGACCGGATAGACGACGTGCTGAAGGGGATGGGGGAGAAGCCGCCGTCCGGAGTGTAGACGCGGTGGCTCCGGCGGCGAGCTCCGGGCCCAGCCCCGCAGCGGCCAGGAGCGCGGGCCGGCGATGCGGCTGCCGGCGCCCCCCGCCCCGGCCCAGGAGCCCGCGGGCGGGGGCTGCAGGTCTGCGCCGCCGCTGGGTCAGTGTCTCTGCCGCCGCTGCCAGGCACTCCGGAGCTGTCCGCTTCAGCACCACAGCGGCGGTGGTAGCGGCGGCGCGGACCGGCCCGGAGCCCGCCGCTGCGCTCATGCACTTTAGAACCTCGGGCCGCAGCCCCACCCCGCACACCGGAACGGACACAGAGACCCGCGGCCCCCATTCCCCGGCCCGCCCCCTCCCGCACGGCTCCCCTGCCCCGCCCCCCTCCGGCCAGTTTGGTCTGCAGACCGGGTGGCTGCCGGTGTCGGACCGCGCGTGGCCAGGGATGTTTGGCTGCGTATTTGCATGAGCTTCCCACCCACCTGAGCCCAGCCCTCTGGGCAGTTCCTAATCCTCACCCCAGTCTGGCGTGACCCCAGCCTCTTTCTAAGGAACTTCCTCAGCACATTTGTATTTTTATATCCGATTCTTTGTTTACTGGCTCCGCTCATGGTTCGTGCCCTCCCCCCATAGCCTCCGCCATGCTCTTCTGCGCCTGGCAGATAGGACGGGTGTTGAGGCTGGGTTGGGACAAGCCCCCAACATGGTAACCAATCATATGGTCAGTCTGCCAAAGCCTCACTCCAGGAGGTTCTCAGGCAGACCCCTTTCCCCCAAGGTATCACCTTGTAAGGGCCCAGATCTGATTTTACCTTGGATCCTTTCGTTCTACCCCTGGGAACCCAAATGGGACTGCTCTGCACCTCTGGATGACACCTGTGGACCTGGAGATGTCCTCAACCCAGGGGTGTCCTTTGTAAAATGTTCCTCCATCCTCACTGTATCAGGAGTGTGTGAATAAACACAGACCTCCCTGTGTGCGTGTGTGGCCACTGCTTCAGTCTGCTCAGGAGCGGGGCCAAAATGGGAGGGAGGCAAATACTTGGTAATCTCAAGTGCAAAGTTGCTGGTAGGGGAGGGTTGCCAAGGGAATACAGGCAGGCCAGCCTGAGCTGGGAACATGGTTACCATGTGGTCTCCTTAGGTACATGAACAGTCTAAGCAGGACAGGTAAGCAGTGTTGGGGCTGGAGCTGGGGTTGGAAGCATAAAGCAATCTATATTCAAAGTCTGCTATCTCCTGTACACAAATGCAAGTTGGAAGGGGGCCCCTTAGGCCAGCTGTTGTACAGAAGGGCTGTTAAAATTTACCCCAGGGGATGAATTACTGGTGGTCCGGTATGGTGGAGAAGTTTATGGGGAACGAAGTAGAGTTCAAAGGAACATAAGAAGGAAGCCAGAAATCTAGGATCTGGGGACCTAGTTGGAGCAGGGCTGAATTGGCTCACATGGGCTTGTTCTCACAACCTCTCTCTTGCACATGAGACCTCTGGAATGTGAGCACCTTTGAAACAACCCCAATCCTGAGTGAGGAATTCCTGAGAAGCCCAGGGAGAGCTGGAGGACAATGCCTCTGGCCTCACAGCTGAATGGCATTGAGAAAGTCTTCATGATCTGAGTCTTGGAAGAAGCAGGGTGAGGTGGGAGGGCTGGGAGGTGACAGGATCTGGGCTCCTAGGGCCAGCTGGGCCACACTGAGCTCCCCACCCTTGTGCATGAGGTAGAAGTGGTAGTGGAAACCGCTGCCGTAGGTTGCATGCCTCAAGGACCAGCCATATCGGGCTTGGGCATAGTGTCTGGTACGAAAGTGGGGGGCTGCAGAGGTCATTGAGATGAACCGGCCCCCAGGGACCAGCACCCGGCTCACCTGCAAGGCAGACAGAGAAGCCATCGGTGATGAGTCATCTCCAGGTTCTCAAAGGTCAGTACTGCCCCAGTCAAACCTCAGGTATTACCCTCCATCCAGTAGCTCAAACTTTCCATGGCAAAGAGTAAGCCACATTCTCTGCTCCTCGCCATTTCATGAAAGCAGGGCTGCGATCTAAATAGGAGCATGCGAGTTCAGGAGGCATGGCTTTCCTATCAGCTGTTCTCCTTCTCAGTCTGTATCACCTGTCTGGAATTTGCCTGTTACCTTACCCCTGATGCAACCTAGTAGCCAAACATTGGCCTTTGTAAGCTTAATCACTCCAGCCCCTTCTAATCTTGATCCAGCTTAACACTCCCATTCTTTAGAGAACTATACTTCTGAGGGTGATCCACCATCTGCTCCAAACCAGACCTCTAGCTTTTGAGTTCTTTCCATCCCCTCATCCCCACCCCTTAATCTGCCCTTCTCTCTTGCTGATTCCTCACCTCACTGAGCACCTGGTCCACAATGTGGATACCTTCAGATGATATGGTCCAGGGATCCTGTTCCCCAGCCAGCAGGGCATCCAGTGTGCCCTTCTCAAGCACCACATCAAAGGAGCCACTAGGGAAGGCAAGCATCCGCACATCCATGGTCTCCCAACGCAGCCTGGGTATATGGGCATAGCGAGCCTGCATGGCAGCCACCACTACTGATGAGTAATCCACACTGGTCACATCGGGAAAGCCTCCAAGGAACAGCTCGTAGCTCAGAGCACTATTCCCGCAACCTGGTGTGGGATGGAGTGGGTGGCAAAAGAGCTAGGTTAGTTTTGGTTCTCACCTTCCCTGTTATTCATCGTGGCCCCACATTTTCTCTCAGTCCAAATCTTCTAGTACTAAAGGAAAGGCAGAAGTGTTCAGAAAACACATAAGCTTTGGAATCACGCAGACCTCAGCATAAACCCTGGCTCTATCATTCCTGACTGTGTGAACTAGGGCAAGTTGTTTCAATACCAATAACTTGGATTTCTTATTCAGAAAAATGACGATAACAGTCAATAGGCTACAGAAAGGATGCAACACACTAATTTAAGAACTAAAACATCTGTTGAATAGCTGAAGGAGGTCCATGCTTAGGAATTCAAGGGTCTGGATTCTGATATCCCTAACCAAACAGCCATGGAAAAAATCATTTGACTTGTTGAATTTCAGTTTCCTCAAACTCAGGATGGTAATAATACTGGCATTATTAGGACTGTAATCTCATTATTATTCTAATCCCTAACCTTTTAGAGGATCTTGGAAGATATCTACCCTGGGAAGGTTTCGTGATAGGAGTTATTATCTTACTTTGATTTCCATGGCAGAATTGGTAAGTGAAGGGTAAACTAGGTGGGGACACACAGCAGGGTTGATCTCTTATAATTTTTAATGTACATATTTTTTTTAAAAAAAAATTTAGCTGTAGATGGACACAATAGCTTTATTTTATTTATTTATTTTTTTAATGTGGTGCTGAGAATCAAACCCAGTGCCTCACACATGCCAGGCAAGCACTCTACCACTGAGCCACAACCCCAGCCCCTCATGTACATATTGAATACTACATATTGGTCTCTGTTGATGAATAAGAGTGCCTTCCTTCAAGAAACTCATGCTCTGGTGGAAAGGAAAAACATGGAAGCAGGCAACTGTCACATAATACAATAAGTATTTCAATAGGGACAGGCTGTGGGAGCACAAAGAAACCCTGATCTCACCCCAGGTGGATTAGCCAACAATTTCAGGGCAGCTAACAAGCAGTATCTTGGGGGGGGGGGGGAAGAATCACAACACTGATGGGAAATGCTTAGAATGCAATCTCAAAGAGGAACGGTTAGAGAAGGGTAGAGCTTAGAGTAGATGTGGATCTATATCACAGTGGACATGACTACTTTAAAATATCCAGTGGTCTCTGCCAGGCCATCCTGTGGCCAGTCTCAGGCTGAGAATGGGACAGGATGACAGCTCTTGGCAGTCCCATGTAGGGGATGTTAGATCTTAGAATTAGTCTCATTTTAACCCTCATTTGGTTCCCTAAGAGGATCACAGGATCAATTGTTGAGATATCCCTAATCTAGCAGAGCTTGGCACCTAGACAGAGCAACCAGAAGCAGCTCACCAGTCCTCAGCAGTCCCTTCCCATGCTCCTCCTCAGGCCCTGGGGCTCAAGGAGAGTACTATCTTGCCTGGTAAAGCCTAACGCATGCTTCCCCATGTTGGACCTGCAAGCACTGGATGGCATCTTTTAAGAAAACTTTCACACTTACAAAGCAGTGATTTCTGCCTCAGTGATTTGGGTCCACAACTAAGAAAGGGATTGGAAAGAACACTGCCTCCTAAATGGTGCCTTAGGGAAGCAAAGCCCTGGAGAACTGACCCAAATCCAAGAACACATCATATGTGGATCCAAAGCTATGAGGATGCTAACCCAACACTAAGAGTCTGAGATGTAATCCTGAATGCCAATTCATTAATAAAAAATAGCCATCGTTGGAACTGGACAGTTGAATTCTTTGGTCAGTCCCTTCTCTCTATAGGAAACTAGAAGCCAAATTATGATCAGAAGATTCCTAAAGGATATGGAACCAAGCAAAGATGGAAAATCTGAGAAGTATACTGACAGTAAAGCAGAGACAGCCATCCATATGCATTCACCTGCCATGAGAACAGTCTACTTATAGGGATCAGACACACAAGACTTCAGTCGGGATCTCTGAACATTCACGGATAAACTGTCTCTGACTTTCATTTTCAATAATAATGAGGGCTAGGGGTATAGCTCAGTGGTAGAGTGCTTTCCTAGCATGCACGAGGCCCTGAGTTTGGTCCTCAACATGTGTGGGTATGTGTGCGTATGTACACATGCACAAACACATATGCACACACACAAGCATGGTTCAATAATAACAATGATCATTAGCCAGTAACTGAAATTGAAAACCAGGTAGTACTGTGCTAACCATTTCATAAGAATTATCTGTTTATTTTCACAATAGATCCATATAGAAGACACTATTATATTAACATTCCCATTTTCTAGATGGGGAAATTGAGAAACGTGGATAAGAAACATACCCCAAGACTACAGTCAGATGTAGAGTCCTAATTTGGACCCAGACCTGCCTCACTCCAGAGCCAGAGCTCTTAAATCACAATGCTCAACTACCTTCCAAGTTCTGAGAGGCCCACTCACCTTCAGTAGTGACATTTCAACTTTATCAATAAGACCATTAAGCTATAATTTACAATGTAGTCACTGGACCAGTTTCAACAGAATGCTAGATGTCTCTCACCCATCTGTGTGGTGCAGCAGCAGAACTAGAAGCTCTGGAGTCAGAGTGTACCCTACTTCACCTTGCTGCATGATAGTGGTAGACACTGTCAATACTCTGACCAGATCTCCTCGAAGTCCTTTAAGCAATTTTTCTATGTCCCTAGGTTGTGGTATATGTTTGCATTGAAGTTTGCATCTGTGATTCTTCAGGCTGAAATTACACTTAGGGAAACTTTGTCTGACATCACAATTTTGCTTGGCTTCTTCCCTTTTGTTACCCCAGTTTCTCACCAATATCTTCTGGGAGCTCTTATCTAACAAATGACTTGGACATGATTCTCATCTCAGGATGAGAAATTGCTCCTGAGAAACCCATAGCAATGACCCATAGCAGTGGTTGCCAAATCCAGCTCACCACCTCCTTTTGTATAAAGTTTTATTAGAGCATGGCTATTCCTATGTATGTGTTTGTACAGTACAATAGCAAAACTGAGTAGCTGTAACAGAGACTGCAAAGTTTAAAATATTTACCATCCAGCCATGTTCTGAATAAGACTCTTAATACTTTAACTTACCTTTAGGGAACGATTAAATAAGTCAGAAAGGACCCAGCATGTTCCATGGCATCTACCAGATACCTTATGTTTGTTAAGGTGGCATGTAACATATGGTACACCCCATGTCGAGGGTCCTATTGTTAAATCTTTGGACATCCTTTCTGAAAACTCTTCGCTTTTGATTTTTAGACTTTTCACCCCTCTTATCCAGAAAAGGCTACCTCTCAGTCAAGCAGATTTTAAGGCAGAGTTACTCTGCCAACCGCCAGCATAAGAATCAGCTGTGGGGCTTCTTGAAAATAGATTCCTCAGCTTGGGAGGCAGAGGCAAGAGAATCATGAGTTCAAAGCCAGCATCAGCAACATAGTGAGGCACTAAGCAACTCAGTGAGACCCTGTCTCTAAATAAATATAAAAAGGGCTGGGGATGTGGCTCAGTGGTTAAGCATCCCTGGGTTCAATCCCTGGTAAGAAAAGAAAAGAAAAGGGGAGGGGAGGGGAGGGGAGGGGAAAATAAATAGATTCCTAGAACCCATCCCTGGAATTAGAATCTCACGGTGGGGGTCCAGCTTTCCAGATTATTTTGATGCACACTACATCTTTAAAAAATAGCTCTATGGTAAATCTATACATAAATCATTTAGTTTACAATCACAAAATTCATGAACATTTACCTCTGGGGGAAGGGGTTTTGGGAGGAATTACACAGAAAACCTTAAATATACATGAGGCTTATTGCCAGGCCTTGCTCTTTCACATTCATTCAATCACCTTAGAAAATCAATATTTAAGTACTCATTTTTTAGAGGCTGGGAAAATGTAGGTACAGAAATTTAAGTACTTTGATGATAACACACAGCCAGAATTAGATGAGCCAAAATTCCAAACATGATTAGCAACTTCCACGGTCCAAGTTCTTTTTTTGTAGTGGGAGGGAACTCAGGGGCACTTTACTATGGAGTACATCTCTAACCCTTTTTATTTTTATTTTGAGACAGGAACTTGCTAAATTGCTGAGATTCTCACTAAATTGCAGAGGCTGGCACCAAACTTGCAATCCTTCTGCCTCAGCCTCCGGATTCACTGGGATCACACTGCACCTGACCAGAACCCAAATTCCTCACCACTAGGTTATACTTCTTTCTAGTCCTACGTGCACACACACGCATCAGATTTATTATTCATATCTTACATATATATGGTATTACAGGTATCAAATATTTCACTTACAAAGACTTTGACGCTGAAAAATAAAAACTATAATTGGTAGGAAAACCTTTGCTCATTCAAGCTTCACTATGTGCCTCCAAGGCTGACAGAGGAAGAGAACTCCTAGTGGGGCAACTGGACCTCTCAGAGCCCTCCCTACTTTGCATCCCAGCACCTCTTTTCCACAGGAAATCACACCAATCTCGGCCGCAATCTCCACTTCGATCTCAGAGGGCGCTGTTTTTACCTTCACTTCACACTGAGCATAGGACAAAGTTTCAGTCAGGGTTTGGAGAGTGCTAACTCCCTCTAGGTATCAATGGCTCCTGGTGCCAACTGGCGCAAAAAGAAAAGCGCTAAGCAAAGTGCTCGAGATGCCTGCATTTGTATTATCTCGTATGAAATCCTAGTCCCATTTCTAAAATTGAAACTGACGCTCACAACGGATTCATCACTTGTCCTAAGTTATACTGCCAATTTGTATTGGGACTTGAACTAGGTCCTCTGCCTTCTCCTGGGCCAGAGGTTACTTCCCAAGAGTCCGGAACAGGATCCAGGATCACTCCTGTTTGCCCTGGCTAACTACAGCTGGATTCGGAGGTACTGGATCTTAGCTTCCCACTGGGGTCCACTGAGAGGGGCAAAGAGACAAGGAGAAAGTGGATGAGGTCAGATCAGGCCTGACGCAGCCTGATCTCCTTGCCGGGACAGCTCTGGGGATACCCACCTAGCACGAGGATACGGTCCTCCGGCCGCAGCTCAGGCTCTAGGAGGGAACGGAAGGAGGAGAAGTCCCCGAACCACTCGTAGGGCGCAGAGTCCGCCGCGCCTTGGTAGCGCTGGTCCCAGTACTGGACCTCGCAGTACTCGAAGTTCTGCTCGGGTAACTCCGGCCCGGGCGCCGGGGACCCGGGAGAGGCCATGCTCTAGGCACTCTCCAGGACCCGACCTACGCAGCCAATCCGGAGGGTGGGATGTGGTGGGCGGGGCCCTTGTGTCTCCGCCCACCACCTGCAGTTGCTCAACACAAACACGTGGAACTTCCGTCTTCTGCTAAGCGCTCTTTGAAGAATCGTCCGGCTGGGAACACTGAATAATCGTCTACTTTTGCAGTCCTCCGGCTGTACTGCTTAGTCGCCTTCGCGGGCCACACTTATAGCGCCAGACTTCTCAGGCTCACCACTGCCCTCTTATGTTTCAGTTTGAACGGCTCCTTCCATTAGTAACTGAAAACAAACTGAAAATTCACTTCTTCCCAAGCAGTTTTTGAGCACCTAGAAGGCTCAGAAGGGAAGCGGGAGGAGTGCAGACCGACTTTGGCCTCCAGCATGAACACAAGTATTCCCAGCATAGGGGAAGTGGAATGCTTGGCTTGCGAGGAACAGAACTGTTGTTTTCCGGAGCAGACATTCGTTCTGTATTAGCGCCATGTGTGCCCAGAACTGGGTATATACTGAGGAGTAAAACTTTGTTCCTGCTATTTCGAGGTGTGTATTCCGCCGGAGGAGACAGATACGAAAGAAATAAATTTTAGTGTAGTAAAGTATTCTGGCTACTTGGATCAGCGCTAAGTTTGGTGTTCCGGAGAAGAGGAACGGAACTGAAGTGTCGAAGGGTTGGATTTCCGGGGTGGTGGACCAATTAGAGCGGCGCACCGTCAACATGGCGGCTGGGCTGCGGAAACGCAGCCGGGCGGGTTCCGCGGCCCAGCCGGCGGGAGTCTGCGGACAATGGCTACAACGCGCCTGGCAAGAACGGCGCTTATTGCTTTGGGAGCCGCGCTACACGCTGCGGGTGGCCTCCTGCCTCTGCCTGGCAGAGGTGGGCATCACCTTCTGGGTCATTCACAGGGTAGCATGTGAGTGCGCCGAAATGGAGGGGGGGAGGGAGGGAGACCCGAACCCCTACCCTAAAGTGGGTCCTAGACCTGGACTCAAAAGTAACCTCTATAGCCACTCATTCATCATCTGTAGAGTCATATCCTTTATCGGAGCCCCAAATCTGCTCCACAGGCAGGGCGACCTTAATTCTGCTCCCGTGACTAGGGGCAACCCTAAAGGTTGGCCTTCTACCCTGATCATACAGCCTGCCAGGCTAAGAAAAAAAAGCAGCCTGGAAGTCAGTTCTGGGTCAGAGTTAGTATGATGCTACTGCTGCTTGTCTTGTGACTTGGACACGTCACTTCCCTTCCCGGATCTTGACGTTATCAACCATTTAAATTCTGAGGTCTTCGAAGTCCCTTCTCTACGATGGCATTTTGTGACCACTTGAATCTGTTAGGCATTATTAGTTGTTCTTTCCAGGCTGAATCTAGACTCTGGGCTTGAGGCACCTCTGTTTCTTGTTAAGGACTTTTTCATTGAGAACATATTGAGTGCTTGTCCTATGTCTAACATTATGTTTTCTTCTCTCTTTTTTAATTACCTAACATTATGTTATGTGCCACAAGTACAGTGGTGAATAAGAGAGATGTATTTATGACTTGGGCATATGGTTTGAACTAAGATGTTAGTAGGCAATTATAATGTATCATATTCATCTTGATAGGAGTAATACAGAGTGTTATAAGAATTTAGGAGGGTTCAAGCCGGGGGGCACTTGCCTGTAATCCCAGTGGCTCAGCAGCTGAGGCAGGAGGATTGCAAGTTCAAAGCCAGCCTCAGCAACTTAGGGAGACCCTGTATCAAAATAAAATAATTTTTTTTTAAAGGGCTGGGAATGTGGCTCAGTGGTTAAGCACCTCTGGGTTCAATCTCTGATGGTGGGTGGGGAAGGGCTGCAGTGACTTAGGAGGGCCAGACACCAGGAGTAAGGGAAAGTTTCATAGAGCCCCTCTTGAAAGGTATGTAAGAACTAGCCAGATAAGGAAAGAATAAGGAAGGAAGGGGATGGCAGAGAGGATCTTGTACCAAAAACCTCCAGTCAAAACAGAGAATGATTCCTTTGAAGAATGTATTTTTTTAGAGCTGCAGTGTCGAAACTGATTTGAATGGTAATGAGAGAGCAGATTGTACAAGTCGAGATCAGATCATAAAGAAATTTAACAGTGTTGTAAGGAGACAGCATGGTGGTTAAAAACTTGGGGCCCCCAACTCTATCCTTTCTAATTCTTAAGTTAGTTGTTTAGGGCTGGGGATGTGGCTCAAGCGGTAGCGCGCTCGCCTGCCATGCGTGCGGCCTGGGTTCGATCCTCAGCACCACATACAAATAAAGATGTTGTGTCTGCCGAAAATTAAAAAATAAAAAAAAAAGTTAGTTGTTTAACCTAATTAACTTTTAGATTCCTTTTCTAAAAAATGGGAATAATAGAGATCGATCTTTATCTTTAGAGCCTTGGGAAATCACTGAAGGGTTTTTAAGTAGAGAGACCTCATAATGATTTTTATTTCAAGAAAACTGTTTTGTGCAGGGTAGAATATGCATTGTAGTGGAGTGAAAGTAGAAACCAGGAGCCTAATTAGGATACTATTGTGTTGTTGAGGCTACAGGTTATGTTAGACCCAAAATTGACTATGTAGTATCAGAGAAAGATGAACTACTAGAGATCTTTAGGATGAAAAAACAGAATTTGTTGACCAAGGGTTAGAATGAAGGAGGAAAATGTATCAAAGATGTATTCCAGCTTCATGACCTGGGCAGGTAGGAGGTTGGTTGTTCTATTAATGAAACCCAAGAAAGAGAGCAGATTTGGAGTGGGAGGAAAGATCATGAGTTCAATTATAGACACATAGTTTGAGATGCTTGAGTTCACCCAGCGAGTAGGCAGTTAGATAAGGAGTGGAGATGGAAGTCCTGGGAATGAGCTGGAACTCTGCTTTGATGTTCTGGAGGCCTGGTGGTATGGGGCAGGCAAATTCTGGATTCAAAATTAACCAAACCATCTTATCCTCTTCCAGACACAGAGATTGACTGGAAGGCCTACATGGCCCAGGTGGAAGGCGTCATCAATGGCACATATGACTATACACAACTACAGGGTGACACTGGACCTCTTGTGTGAGTTATTATAGGAGGTTGAGGGAGAATGTGAAGGGCTAGCTGGGTATCAGGCTGATTAGCCTGACCTAGTCTCACATTCCCCTTCATCTTCCAGCTACCCAGCTGGCTTCGTGTACATCTTTATGGGACTATACTATGCCACTGGCCAGGGCACTGACATCCACATGGCACAGAATATCTTTGCTGTGCTTTACCTGGTGACTTTGCTACTCGTTTTCTTAATCTACCACCAGACTTGTAAGGTGAGTCCATGCTAGAATCAGAGGGCCCCAACCTGGGATGGTGGGTTATGGGGATGGCTCAGATTGGGGGAATTGACCTTATTCCCCACCGTGCCCATCCCTCAGGTACCTCCCTTCGTCTTTTTCTTCATGTGCTGCGCTTCTTACCGGGTCCACTCCATCTTCGTGCTGCGGCTCTTCAATGACCCAGTGGCCATGGCGCTGCTTTTCCTCAGTATCAACCTCTTCCTGGCCCAGCGCTGGGGCTGGGGCTGCTGCTGTTTCAGGTTGACGCCCCTCCACTCATGCCTCTTCTCTCACTTTCTGCATTTCCAACTCTTTCTCTCCAATTTTCTGTAGCAGAGGGAATAAGGGAGTGAACAGATAATGTAGGTCACTCAGGGCTCCACAAGCAAGTCTAGAAAGCCTCTGTCTTCCATGTCCCTTCCCACGTATAGCCCTCTTCCCCTCTTTCTCTTCATCCAGTGTTGGGGTTGGTCCTTGAACTTCTAAATACATCAGTATGTGCTCATTCAGTTTGGGCAGAGGGACTACATACCTGTCCCCTTCCTCCAGCCTCCTCCCAAACTACCTAACCCTCCCTCAGCAGTTCTGAGTGAGGACCTCATCCTGAAGCTTGCTGGTAGGAGGCCAGGAATTGCTGTGATGATGGTGGTACATCTTCAGGCAGGATAAAGAGTTTGGAACTGATCTTCACCCTTCCTCTCCCCTGCCCACTTCAGCCTGGCGGTCTCCGTGAAGATGAATGTGCTACTCTTCGCCCCTGGTTTACTGTTCCTTCTCCTTACGCAGTTTGGTTTCCGTGGTGCCCTCCCCAAGCTGGGCATCTGTGCTGTCCTTCAGGTATCCCTTCTTCACTCTTCCCCTTATGGATGAGGAGACCATTAATCTGACCTTCTTCTGTTACTTGAGACTTTCTCAAACTGAGAGACAGGGTTTGGGAGTTGATTCTGAGATGGGCAGCTTTAGTTTCCTTAACTCTAAAATAAGACTGTTGAAGTAGTTGGCCTCTGAGAGGCTTTCCAGTTCTGTCTACTTGTGAGTTGGTTAATCCTAACCTACTTGGGGAGATGTTAAACTCATGGGGATGAGTCTTAAAGCATCAGGTTAGGATTATTTCCTGTTATTACCTGCAAAGAAGCTCAGATCAGAGCCTCTTTGGTGCCAGGCTCTGATCTGAGGTAGTTGTGGAGGATGGATTTTTTACTATTCCTGATAGAAATTAGGGAACCTCTGAGACCTCCATCCACTCCCACACCCCTCATTGATTATCATGGAGGCTGGGGTAAGCCTTGGCAGCTCTTCTGACATCACACTCATTCTCAGGTGGTGCTGGGGCTCCCTTTCCTGCTGGAGAACCCTATTGGCTATCTATCCCGCTCCTTTGATCTTGGCCGCCAGTTTCTCTTCCGCTGGACAGTAAACTGGCGCTTCCTCCCTGAGGCCCTATTCCTGCATAGAGCTTTCCACCTGGCCCTGTTGGCTGCCCACCTCACCCTGCTCTTGCTATTTGCCCTCTGCAGATGGCACAGGTAAGAAATAGGCAGTGCGATGGACAGGGTTGGGGGAAAGCCCTGAGCTTTAGGAGCTACTTGGGGAGATGTTAAACTCATGGGGATGAGTCTAGAGTTTGGCCCACGATGGAAGCTTGATAAATGTCTGAATGACTTCTCCCCAGGACTGGGGAAAGTATCCTGTCGCTGCTGAAGGATCCCTGCAAAAGGAAGGTTCCACCCCAGCCCCTCACACCCAATCATATCCTTTAAATAATGGAAAGGTAAGTCTTGTACTCTTCAGGTGCAAGGTGGGGTCTCAGGTCTATTGACCTCAGATGGCTGATAACCTGGGGGAGTGAAGGGGAACCCATTCATAAAGCTCCTCTTCTGTACCAAACACTGTGCTGAGCACTTTACGTATCAAAGCTTAGTTTATTCTTTTGTTTTGTTTTGTTTCTGGGTACCAGGGATTGAACCCAGGGCCACTTTACCACTGAGCCACATCTCCAGCCCTTTTTTATATTTTATTTAGATGCAGGGTCTCATTGAGTTACCTAGAGCCTCAACTAAGTTGCTGAGATTGACTTTGAACTCATGATCCTCCTGTCTCAGCCTCCTGATCAGCTGGGATTACAAACATGTGCCACTGCACCTGACAGTTAATTCTTAATTCTAAATATTGAGCTTCTGTGATAGTGTACACACTCCCTGCCTGGTATCCTAAGATGTATATACATTCAAACATTTGAAGCTCACAAGAGATAAGGAAACACTCTTATTATCTTCATTTTCTAAAAAGCAAAATAAAGGCTTTAAGAGGTTAAGGTTAAGTAGCATCACATAGCTAGTGAGAGATTCAAACTCACTAGGCTTTATGGTCCTAGGTATTACCATCTCCCTGTTAGATTAAGGAACAGGTCCAGAGAAGTTGAGAAATTTGCCCAGGGTATGCATCTAGGAATGGCAGAACCAGGGGGCTTTCTGACCCCAAAACTTTTGCCCTGTTGGGGACACGCCCCCCCCCCCCAACTCCTATACCTTCTATTCCTGCCCTTGGCCTTGACCATCACATACAGATTGTTTCTACCCTCTTCACCTCCAACTTCATTGGTATCTGCTTCAGCCGCTCTCTCCACTACCAATTCTATGTCTGGTATTTCCACACACTGCCCTACCTCCTGTGGGCCATGCCTGCACACTGGCTCACACACCTGCTCAGGTACTGGCTGGGACAGCCTGGGGGAGTGGGAAGGGCTAGGGGATGTGTCTAGGGCATGAGAAGTCAAAGGACTGTTGGTCTTGAAACTGGACCAAACCTGGGGCCTGTTTCTGATCTCTAGGTTGCTGGTGCTGGGGCTCATCGAGCTCTCCTGGAATACATACCCATCTACATCCTGCAGCTCTGCTGCCCTGCACATATGCCATGCTGTCATCCTGCTGCAGCTCTGGCTGGGCCCACAGCCTTTCCCCAAGAACATCCAGCACATCAAGAAAGCCCACTGAAATCTACCCCTTTCCTTCCAGTCCACTCTCAGGACCCTGGGTGGAATGGACTCTGTGCCCTTTCAAATAAACCTTTCCAAGTCGACTTCTGTGCAGCCTACATGGAGATAGGAGTAGCTGGTTCCTGGACCAGGCTGTGAGGGGTATGTACCCAGCAGATAAAGAGCTTACTCAGGCAGTCCTAAGAGGCACTTTATTGCATAGGATTTGGGGACTGTGGCTCTCTCTCCTTCCCCTGTGCTACACAGAGGAAGGGGCACAGGGTGGGAGGAGGAGAGAGCACTGGCAGGCACTTTTTGTGAGGGTAAGAGGATTTCTAGGGAGGGAATGAGACGCAGTGGAGGACAGGCTGACACCAGCCTACCTCTTCCCAGCACCGAACAGCCGGCCTGGGCGGCAGTGAATTGAGTATGTTGGGGACACCAGTCCCAGTGAAGGGCGGCCCTCACACATTTGCTGGGCTGTAGCACAGCAGGTGCAGCTGCAGGTTCTGGTCCCAGTGGCGTAGCAGCAGGAAGAGTCCCCTGGCTGCAGCCTTGAGGGCGGCCAGGTCAAGACCATCAGGCAGGTGCTGGGCCCGCAGCCAGCAATCTGCCTTGGCTGCTGTCAGTTCCCATTCACTGAAGGCAGCCGCGCAGCGGTGCTCCAGCCACGCAAGTGCCACAGCTGTGGCCCAGGTGCGATCCCGAAGATCTGAGCCTCCTATCCCTTCCGCCCCTTCCGAAGCCTCGGTATCTGAACCCCGCCCACTGTCTGCCTGGCCTGGACCCTCTGAGCCTGAGCTGGGGGACGGGCTACAAGAGGCTGTGGCACTGTCACCCTGGCCAACACTAGGGCCCAGAAGTGCCCAGGGAGATGAGGCAGAGGTGGGGCTGAGGCTGGCACGGTGTGCAGCAAAGGGTGAAGCACGACACAGGCGCTCCTGGGGAATATGCACAGCAGCACAGAAGGGTGCATCCAGACGGAAGGAGCCTGGTGCTTCTTGTAGCCGCACCTGAGGAGAGAGGAGGTGGGGGGAGAAGTGAGCTGAGACATCACTCTAACTCTGGTGACACTGCCCTCCACCTCCCGAGTCCTCACCAAGGGCAGGTAGTCGTGGTCGCTGCCTCCACTGTTGCCTCCATTGGCCTGGCCAGCCTTGGGACTACAGAGTCTCCGTCGGCGGCCCAGACTGAGCCTCGAGGAAGGCTGGTAGGGCAGGTGGTAAGGACCTCCAGTGGGAGTTGTTGGCTCCCCCAAAGCTGACTTGGAGTTGTCATTTCGTTCCAGGTCCCAGGTGCCTACCAGAGAGCCTCCCTGAATTCTTGTGGTGGGGCCAGCCAGTGTCAACTGGTAGTCCCTCAGCCTTGAGCTACCCTTTCCCCACATTTGGGTTATACCTTTAGGGTGAGCTGCAGTGGGCAGAGAAGTTGCATCTAGATGGCCCTGAGAGACATAAGTGCCTGGGGGTTCAGCCGATTCTGCAGGGGCATAGGAGACAGGAGTCAGGTTTGTCTGCACAGGTAGTTAGGCGAGAACTGTACCTAAGAGATCACCAAGGGAGGACTCCTACCTGAGCTCCGCACCTGCAGGACTCCGGGCAGGACCTCCCTAGTAGTAGCATCCACAGCTACTGGGCAGGTGAAGCAGGAGGGAGCACAGCTGACCTTGCTTGTCTGAAGGGCTCGAAGCCAGGACCTCCGGGCGTGGCCTGGAATCCAAGGAGCAGCATGCTGAATTCCCACCCTCTACAGAGGGCTACATAGAAAAAACCATGTTCCCCACATCTTCTCCCTCTGTCTACTTTTAAACAGAGTAGTAAAGTGCCCTTCTCAGGCCTAGAACCAGCTATGACAAGCAGAGCTAGGAACCCCTAGCTGCCCAGAAACTCAACAGTCTAGACACCACCAAAGGAACATTGCCTTTACTCTTTCCTCCACTCATTTCGCAGTGTCCAAAAGAACTTTTCTGAGGGAATGGAAATTTTCTGTCTGCACTATCCAATATGGTAGCCACTCGTCACATGTGACTTCCAAGCACTTCAAGTGTGGCTGGTGCAATCAAGGAACTAGAATTTTAACTAATTGTAATAGTCATTTTCAGAATGACAAAGATTTGTTTTTGTGTTGCAGGCACTGATAATTATTACAAAGTCATATTTTCCTCTGTATTGGCAGCTAGGAAGCTTATCAGGCTTGGGTCCCATGCTTTTATGGATATATAACTTCATGGTATACATTGTTAATATAACCTAATTCTTGGCTCCCTTTATTTTCATTTTTTCCCATTGTCCTGCTTGATTTCTAATCTCAAGCCACCTGAATCCTTTATGAGCAAAGTGAGGAAAAGAGTGATCTAACAGACATACCTCTGCTGCTTTCTGTCCCATGCCCTTGGGCTCCAACTGGGCCACTAGCAACTCACCCTGGTCAGCTGTGGTCTCAGCTCCTCGGAGCGCTAGCTGTTCATTGTCTCGGACCACTGAGGCTGCTGTCAGTCGGTGAAGTGCTTGGTCCCAAGCAGCTTCTCTTACAGCAGTTGATGGAGGCTTTGAGGCATCCCCAGGTCCCCACAGTGTCTCCAGCCCAACACCCACCTCCCAGCACATTGGTTGCTCCCCATACAGGCCCCGGATCACCACATGGCAACGTGGAGCCTGGGGAGGCACTGGTACTGCTGGAGGGGTTGGTTCCCTATTTGGGGGCACAGCTGTGAACAAGAAGGGTGGTTCCATCAACATGTCCCAGTCCATGGGGGCTGGGGAGAGCAGGTTTCCTAGGGAGAAAAGATGGCAGGGACATTGGCAGTGTAGTGCCCTGGGCTCCATGTCCCCAAGCCTCCTTTTTTTTTTTTAAATTTTTATTTTTTATAATATTTATTTTTTAGTTTTTTTCAGCGGACACAACATCTTTGTATGTGGTGCTGAGGATCGAACCCGGGCCGCAGGCATGCCAGACGAGCGGGCTACCACTTGAGCCACATCCCCAGCCCTCCCCAAGCCTCCTTGATATTAGAGAACCCAGCTCCATTTCCAGCCCTTACCTGAATCGTCCAGGCCCTGCCCAAGCTGTTGGCCTGACTCAGGGCCTGGCACATCTGGTACTGCACCCAGAGAAGGTTGCCGGGGTCGGCAAGGGACTGGGTTTGCCCGGCCTGGTGGAGATGAGAGACTTCTGCCAGCCAGAGCTGCTCTATGCCTACGGCCCAGTACCTCAGCACTCAGGGCTCCTGGCTGCATGAGAGATGTGGGGCCACTGGTCAGGGGCTGCAGAATCCCCAGCCTTCAAAAATACATGGTGGGCTACATGCCCCTTGTCATCTCACTCTACTCCCTATTGCCCACTTCAGGTTGTTGCTTATCTGTTTTTGTTTATGTCCCCTTCTTTGCCTAGTTAACTTCTTCTACTTATTCCAGACATGGCTTTTACTTTCCTGACTCCCTCTGACAGAATTAGCCATCCTGATTTGGAGCCCCTATATTCATCACTGATTATTGCATGGTATCGTCATTATAAATTTAGCCATTTATCTATCTAGACTTGATAAACATTGCATAATGTCTGGCACACAACAGGTGGTAAATAAATGCTGGATACATGATGGTTGAATGTGGGCTGGATCTCACCTTGAATGGAGACTGTGGTGGTGCAGGCAGGGGGCAGGAACGGGAGCCTGTAGATTCTCCCCAGGCCAGGCTGCGGCAGCCCTGCTGAGAGGGAGGATCCAAGGGAAAATAGCCCTCGGGGGAGCCAGGGCCCTGGGAGCCAGGAGACTCACTGCTGCCTGTGGAACCCGGGCCTGGCTCAGGGCTGGCAGAGCAGTGGGTAAGCACATACTGTTCCCGGATGTATGAAGACTGGAAGATGCGGCGCCATATGGCTGTGTCATTGGACGGATTGGGTCCAGGATCTGTGACTGGGTCTGTCAGAGCATCAGTACCTGCTGGAGGCAGGAGAATGGGCCCTAGCCCTGACCTTTCCCATTGTCCTCTCTTACACAGCCATACACATACACTAGAGTACTCACTCTGATCTGAGTCCCCAGCAGCCCATGGACTGGACAGCTCTGCTGACACAGTGCGTGTTTCCAGTGGCTCTGAGGTGCCAGTGGGCTCAGTGCCAGGGCTGGCAACAGATGGTGCCTCCTCTGGGGATGGGAACACAGAACCACCCAAGCTCTGCCAGCCAGGATCTTGGCCCTATGGAGAATAGCATTGAGGAAAAAAATTGATTGTAGCTATATACTATCTCTTTCCAAGTGGGATTTTAAGATGGTTCACAGCAAGAAATAAAAACCCAGTACTAAGGAAGAAGGAAACATGTTAACCATAAGGATTAATAGAGCTGCTGTGGAGTTGAACTTCAGGTTTGTCTTGAGCTTCCTGGCAGCCAGGCAAAAAAGCAAACTGTAGTTGGGCATAGAAGCACACACCTGTAATTCCAGTGACTTGGGAGGTTGAGACAGAAAGATTTCAAGTTCAGAGCAAGCTTCAGCAACCTAGTGAAGCCCTAAGCAACTTAGCAAACCCTGTCTCAAAAAAATAAAAAAGGGTTGGGGATGTGGTTCAGTGGTTAAGTACCCCTGAGGGTTCAGTTCTGGTACAACAACAAAAACCATTATATAACTCTCAGTCAAAAAAGGAGGAAGCATGTTTAGTTCTAAAGAAAGAGACAGGTGTTTTTTTTTTTTTTTTTGTAAAAAAAAAAAAAAGAACCTACTTTTCCTCACATTCCTATTATGTTTTAAGTATCATGCTAAGGGCATTGTACCTATGAAAAACTTAACTTACATAGGACGAAATGGGCACAAAGAAGTTAAGTGACTTGCCCAAATCAAGTGGCTAGCCAGTGGCAGAGCTGGGATTTGAGATTGCACCTACACTAAGCTCATCTGTCACTGAGTGTTTAGATGTGGGTTTTATTTTATTTTTGTGGTGCTCGGCATCAAACCCAGGACCTCATGCATGCTAGGCAAGCACTCTGTCACTGAGCTACATCCCAGCTCCCAAATGGTGCTTTCTGTAAGGCACTGTTTGAAGTAATGAGCAAGTTTTAACATAAACCTCACAGCAAATGCTGGAGTTTTGGGGCTGGGAATGTGGCTCAAGCGGTAGCGCGCTTGCCTGTCATGCGTGCAGCCCGGGTTCGATCCTCAGCACCACATACAAACAAAGATGTTGTGTCCGCCAAGAACTAAAAAAATAAATAAATATTAAAAATTTTTAAAAAATGCTGGAGTTTTTTGGTGGCTATGTGTTTCAATGACTTCTGGTGAAAACTAAGGGCAACATTTTATAAGGCAGTGGAAGACCTCATGAGGGGGGCAAGATGTAGTTACCTTGGAGATCCCAATGTGATCTCTTTGGGGCCCTAGGGAACAGTAGGGGAGCTTGGCAGAGAGAGAGATAGGAAAAGGAATAAGGAATTTGAAGAGATGCAGGGACTTCAGCCACCCAGGTCTATCTATCACACCTAGCCCAGGCCTACCCCTGGAGGGTGGGGCCGGAAGCCATCCACCCTGAAGAGTGAGCAGTAACCAAGCAGCTGGTCCCCAGGGTAGAGTGCTGGGATTTCCCTGGGAGTCAGGAGAGCCTCCACGGCATCAGGCACAAACCAGTCCACAGAAATGTCACTCAAAGCAGGCTCCAGTGCCTTCCGCAGAGCCTGCACCAGCTGTGGGGAGGGACCAGAGGGAGGAAATCAGAAAGGAGTGTCACATACAGACAGTTCAGGCAGGCTGCCTTTCCCCAGCTGCCCTTTGTCTAACTCTGGGCTGATGGAGAACAGAGTTAGTCTGGGGTCAGGAGAAGTAATGGGGTAGAAGCAAGCAAGGGAACTGAGAGCTTAGTCCTGGGGGCTTGATCTTTCTCCTGGCCTGAGCTTTGCCACATGGATGAATCAAGACTTCATGAGGATAAGGCTCAGACGCAAAACAAAACTGAGTAAGATTTGGGGGATAGTCAGATGCTGTATCCGCATATCTTTCGTCTTCCACAGCATCCCACAGCAGTACCAACAGTTCTTCTCCTGGCTGGTATCTCCTCAAGGAGAGGAAGGTTTAGAGTAGGGAGAAGTCCTAGTGAGGGTACCAAGAGACCCCATGGCCTGACTAGGTTCTATTTCAGATTTGATGTATAATTTGGGAGAATTTCTAAAAATATAGAATAGGATCCAGGCTCAGACTCACCGTGGGCTGCAGCCTCTCTCCAGGCCTCAGGAAGTAGGCCTGGCCTCTGCTGAGGGCAGACAGACCCTGGAGCAGCTGGTGGCAATCAGGCCCCAGCCCAAAGGAGAAGCACCTGACAGGGAAGGGGAGCAGCTATGACCTTCAGGAGCTTTTGGGGGAGAGGGATCAATCTTAGGCACCTGGCTCTGCCCACTCCATACCTGGCTGCCCCTCTGTGCCACCTCATGAGCTCCAGGGTTTGGTGAGTAGTGACAGCCATGGGCGAGGCAGCAGTGAGCAGGAACAGCTGGCGAGGATGGGCCTTCTGCTGGGGCTGCCCCAAGGCCCAGTCCAGTGCAGCCAGTATATCTGGGGGACCACTCCCAGCCTGCAGGGTCTCAATGCTCTCACAGATCAGCTGCACAGTGTCCTGGAGGGAGAAGGCAAGTCTGGGCTGGGTTGGCCTGAAACATCTCTGTAAGGGCCCCAAATCCCTGGACCACACTCACATCGCTGCAAGACCGGCTCTCTGGGAAGAGTGGCTGCACCGAAGTCCCAAACATGGCCAGGTTGACAAGTGTCTGAGTTGGGAGGGACTTCACAGCCAAAACAATAGCATCCTGGAGAAGGCCAGAGAGGGCAGCATGAGGCAGGTCCTATAGGCACTGGCAGAGAACAAGGAACTCCAAAATGCTTGCCTTCTCCAGGCCATGATTAAAATGAGGTCTGGATGAAGTCACCTAGGAGAGGCCTGAGTGTGTGAGACTGTGGGGCCTTGGGAGTGTGAGGCAGCCTCTGAATGTATGTGAGACACATTTATATATGGGACTCTGCAGGCATGTGTGAAACCTGGGTCTCTATGATCAGGTCTCAATGTGACTGTACAGGAGAGAAGCTCTTCAAATCCAGAAGAGACAAATATTTGTATAAGAGAAAGAGAGACTGGGGCCGGGGAGGAGGACAGTTGGGAAAGGATCACTCTCTAAGGGATCTATCTCTAAGGAGTTTCTGTCAGGTTCTTTTCTGAAGTTGATGTTTTAAGCAACAAGGCAACTCCCAGCATTGAGAGCCTGGCTCCAGCCCATCTCAGACTGCTGCCCCACCCAAGCCCAGGGCTGCTGCACAATCCCCACAAGCCTTGTGTGCTGCGCTGCTGCCATCCAACAGAAAGAGAAGCTCCCTGGTAGCTGTGCCCAGGTGTCCAGGCCTGGAGCTCAGATCCGGGCAGAAACTCAGTACCAGCACAGGGTTCAGCAAGATGTCCTTGTGGAAACGTCGCTGCAGGAACCACACCTAAGCGCAGGAGCCCCAAATCAAACTGGGCCAGGTTTTAGTGCAGATCTATCCAAGGTAGGCAGTGGGACTTGGCCCTGTTTCTATCTGATTCACTTAGAGAGGGTGCCTTTTTGTAGTGATCTGAATAAAGTCAGGGGAAAAGGCAGGTGGCTGAACTATGCCTATGTCAGACGTGGCCTCCATCCTCTGAGACATATCCTAGAGAGACTTACGTGGGTCCTCCTGTGATGATACTCATCTGTCCCATAGTGGGCTGGACTGAGACAAAAAGAGGCCCCACCCTTCCCGAGGTGCAACTGCTTGCCTGCTCGTCATGCATATGTGCAGTTAGCGTGAAGGCCAGAAGCCATACCTGCCGGTCCCCATCACTGTCCCTTCGCTGCAGCCTCTGGAAATCCCTGCGGGCCCTCACCTGGGCCTCATATTCTGATGCACTCAGGCTGCCAGCCTCCAGTATCAAGTGTGGTTGATGGGGCTCTGAGAAGAAGGGATATAACTCTGTCAGGAAAGTCCCTGCCCGTGGTCCTCTTGTCTTAAGAGGACCCTGCAGGTCCAGCCTCCCTGCACCACCCTCACTGAGATGATTCAGTCCATCTGCCTGGGGCCCAGAAATTTATACTTGAAAACTGCTTAGGTTATTCCTAAGGAGGTCAGGGCTGGCCCACTGTGGGTCTGTGTCTCTCACCACTGGGGTATAGCAGGATCTCCAAGGGCCGGTCACATAGGTGACCCTCTGCCAGTGTGACACAGATGGTGGCTGCAGAGCTGGCATGAGGGGGGGCATCTGCCCGCAGGGCATGAGAGGGGCTGTCCAGGCCTGAGGGACAGAAAGGCAGGGAGGAATGATGACCATCTCACCCCAAACCAGTGTTAAGGTCACAGATATCTCCTTCTCTGATGACAGTTGCTGTGGGCTGGGACTATGGCTGGTCCAGTTCAGCTCTTGGAATCTGATCTATAGGGTCTGATGGACAAGGGAGAATCTATTTCCATGGGCTGGGACATGTGTTCTCAGGTCTGTTCCCAGCTAATGAAAGGATTATACACCAGCCAATTAGCATTGTTCTCCATCTCTTGCACAAAGAAAATCTACTTCAGCACTGAGACTAGTCCCATAGTAAATCTCTCTCTTGCCATTGGTGAGTGGAGTTGGATATAAATAAACTACATTGATAAAACTAGGTTGGGTAGAAGTGGCCAGGGGATGCGCTACTGTCAGACTGAAGGTTCCTAAGGCTTAGGTCCCTGTCTTCTTTTTGTCCTCTGTTCCTCCCATCCCTAAGCCTTGAATTATTTCCTAGTCTGCTACAGGGGGATGGATGGGTCAGGCCAGGTCAGATGCACCCACCTGCCAGCAGGCATGGCCCAGTCACCAGCATCTCGAAGGAGAAAGTATATGGGGCAGGACAGCGGGCAGGGCCTGAAAACACGTCTGGAGGGGCAGGTGGCTCCTCCCAGGCCAGCCCTTCCTCCTCAGGGCTGCCTGCCCCGAAGCAGCTCGTGGGGCTGGAAGGGAGCATGAGGAGGGTCACTGGGCCACCATGAAGGCCCCTAGCCCCTCTGACTGATTGCCCCCACCCTTCTTCACCCTATCCATCTCCCGGGGCATCGTGTTGAGACCCCTCACCCGCACTAGACCCAGAGAAGCCGAGGGAGGGACGAAGAGAATCACCATAGGCCCAACCTGTCGTCACAGAGCCCCGGAGGCCTGGGGGGCCCTGGTGGGCCTGGTGGGGCCAGCGGGGTGAGCACAGTGGGCAGAGCCACACGCAGTACCCCATCAGGCCTGGAGGGCAGCTCCCGGCTGCTGCACAGGGTCACTGTCATGGTGCCAGCTGCAGCGATAAGGCCCGTGGGCAGCACCAACGTGGACCGGGCCTGGGCCAGATCCAAGACAAGATGACCTATGATGAGTGAGAAAAGGGATCAGAGGGGGCTGGAAGCGAAGGGAATGGGAGAAAATAGAGGTGGGATCAGCAATGAGTCAGGGAGTCTGGGCAAAGTGGACTTTGTACAGTTGACAGGAGATTGTGTTAATGCGTTAGTGATGCAGGATGGACACGTGAGATGAACAGTGATAGCAGAGGCAGTTTGGGCATGGAGGGATCTAGCTGTCATCATGCAAGGGAGCAATGACCTCACTGCTAAAGGAGGACTGATGAGAAGGAGGGATATCCATTCTCAAGGTCCTGGGGGAACTATACCATCTGCCTCTCTTGCCCTGCCTGCTCCTTCCCATTCAGCCTTTGGATACCATCTTTCTAAAGGACTCTCCCTTGTGGACCAACACTTTCCTTACATCTAGGACCCACAAATCCCCTGCTAATGAACCATCAGGGACTCCTCATGCCCATTAAAATAATTCCAGACTTTTCCCCCCAGAGAGGAGCTTAAAAACAGCAATCTGCTTGGAATCAGACTAGAGGAAATAAGCCGCATTTGCATGCTGAGCACATGTTTTATTTAGATGGTAGGTTCATTTGAGGACTGTTGGGGTAGTCACCACTGCTGCTGGACGCTTATACCACCTACACAGTCTGCCCCCGTCCACCTTTATAGCCCTACTTTACTTCACTTCCCCACAATAATAAATATTCATTCTTTTGAGAAATACTTGCTGAGTAAGTGAAGAAAAAGAGACCTAATACAGTGGAGAGAGTACAGCATTTGGGTTTGGAGTCTCAGTCTGTGATTTCTAATTGTGTCCTCTAACAACCATCTTAGGAGCCTCAGTGTTTTCATCCATAAAATGGGGGTCATAATAACTATCTCTCGAAGACTGTGGTGAGGAATAAATGAGATAATGTATGCAAAGCACCCAACATACAAGTAAGTAGCCATTGCTACCATTTTCATCACCCATAAAAGGGGGACAGGAACAATGTACATTTTACATACCTCTCCCAGATTCGAATAAGGTGATACTAGTGCCTGGGCTTTGTAAACTGTAAATCACTACAAACCTGAGGCACCGTATCACCATTCCCTGTATAACCTACTTACAAACCTTTGTTTATACCATTGCCTCTACTCTCCACTCCACCAAGCCCTAACCTTCTTTCAGTCAAATGCTGGCTCTTCTTCCTTCTGGAACATTCCTGGGGCCTGAACCCAGAACTCGCTCTTGCCTTTAACTATCTGCAGGGCTTATGCCAACTCTGAACACCACTGGATTCTCTCTTCTTATCTAGATGGTGAATCCCATGGGCAGGGTCAAATGAATATATGAATGAACAAAGGAAAGAATGACATGCAAACCACAGAACCTAGCCTGGAGCTGGACTCCCATCTCCTCCCATAGAACTCACTGAGCCCCTTTATGCCAGGTTCTGTGTGATATACTGGGACTCGGAGATGGCCAAAACACAGTCCTAAACTCAGGAGATAATTCTTCAAAGGGGGAGACAAGACATGCAAGCCTGTGACAATTACTCCCCCTAATAAGTGCTATAATGAGGTGGGAGGAAGGGAGGAAGACTGGGGGGGAAGGGAAGAGTGCAATTAATTATTTGTGAAGTAAGGGCAGGTTTCCTCAAGAGTGACGATTGAGTGGATCTTAAAGGACAAGTACAAATGTGCTCATTAGAAGATGGGAAGATAGAACAGTGAGGTGTAAAAGAGCTTGTCAGTAAGGCCAGTGCCTGTGGTACCTAGTATAGGAGCGCGGCAAGAGGAACAGAATGTAGTGAATGAGGATCTAGGCTACTGGGCAGAGAAGTTTGCACTTGATCTAGGAGCTGACTGGTTTACACCGCCCTGGCAGAGAAGGTGTGTAATCTAAAAGATGAGCGGCTGTGGGGGTCAGCTGGGGGCGGGTCTGCTTCTTCTGCCACACCCTGGAGAGCCTATGGCCACCTGGGTAGTAAGGACGTGGGGTGTCTCAGCCAGCTTTGTGCCGCCTGTTGTGTCTGTCTCCCAGGTCTGGGCCACATTCCCAGAGCACTTGGAGCAGATCAGGTGCCCAGTCCACGACTGTTGGATAAAGGGATGAATCAATGAATGAAAAAACAACAAAAAAGCGCCTGGAGGAAGGTGGGGGAGGGGCGGGAGACTGAGCGAGAGCAGGAACCTGAGCTTCCTCTGGTGTTCAGGAGTTCGGGCTGCAGGCGCCCGGGACTCACCCTGCGCGCAGCGGCGGGGCGTGGAGGTCCCCAACCCTGGGCCCAGCGCGCGGCAGCAGGCAGCCTGCAAACGGCGCCGGCTCTGCAGCTGGAAGGAGACGCGCCGTCCGGCCGCCTCGGCCTCGAAGCCTGATACTACTTCGGCCTCCGCCAGCGGGTACACGAACACGCCTGCCGGGAGGGGAGGGCAGGAGGCGGCGTCGGACCCCGCCCAGCACCCACTCCCACCTCCCCGCGCCCGCGCCCGGCCTCACCGTCCACTGGCTGCGGCTGCGGGTTGTGGTAGGTGAGCCGAGCCCGCAGGCTGAGGCAGGGTCCGTTGGCGCAGGCCCGGACCCAGGAGTCGGTGAGGGGTAGCGGCGTCCAGCTGGAGGGGCAGTAGAGGCCGGGCATGGTGCCCACCGGTCGGCCCTGAGAGAGCGGGGTATCGTGAAGCCGGTGTGCAGCGCAAGTCCCGTGTGCCGCGCCCGGAGCTCCTGAAAGCCAGTCTCCAGAGCTGAACTCAGGCACTAGGACGCGTGCCTGCAAGGGGCACAAGGCTGAGCCGCGCGGCTTTTCCCGGGCTGACAGGTGGCCGGGAAGATAAGAAAGGGAGGTGCAGGGATGGCGACCTGGACAGCTTTGCCCGTTACCTGGGAAGTCGGGCGGAGCGCAGCTCGGGGCAGCACGGGGTCCCGGGGAGCGGAGGGTTAATGATTAACCGGCACTCCCGGCGCCCTACAGTCCCGCCGCTGGCTCCTCTGGGGGTGGGGGTAGGGGGTTGTCACAGCTGTTCCATCATCCGCTGGGGCCTCACTACCGCCCCCGTACCTGCGGGCCCCCCGGGGCTCCCCGTAGCTGCCAGCTGTCGGAAGTGGCGCGGGGTGGAGTTGGAAGATGTTCGGGGTGGGGATCAAAGGTTTAAAGGGCCAGCATCCTCCCGGGTGCCCCCAGCCCAGCAAAGGACAGGAGAGGATGGGGAGTCGAAAAGGCTGCAGTCTCTCCTGTACCTTATCTGCAGCGAAGGGCTGCAGACCTGAATGGAGGGTTTGGGGTAAAAAGAATGAGACAGGGAAGCGAAAAGAAGGGGTCTTTTGGGAGGCCAGACCGAGAAAGGCGTCGGAGCAGGGGGAGTCTGTGCGATCCATCCAGTGCACCTCTCCCCACCCTGGCAGAGCTGATCTGGGAGTGGGGAGCTGCTGCAGTCGCCGCGTTTTCCACAGAGGATGCTGGGGGCTGAGACTTAGGATCGGTCCCCCTCCCTACGGGCAGTCCCAATCTCACCGTGGCTCCTCCGCGGAGTTCTGGGCGTCGCGATCCGAAAAGGGTGGGTTGTGCAGCCTCTGAGTTCAGGTTCGCAGTGAGTTCCGGCACCTTCGGAAAGCCGGCTCGGGACTCCGGCGGCGGTCGCTGTGATCCTAGCTGGGGCGCGGGCAGTGCTGGTGGTGGTCCCGCCCCCGCTCCCAGAGGCCGCCCCACTCGCCCGCCTCGGCCCCGCCCGCCGCTGCGACTGGGCCTCGCTCCCCCTCCTGCGGGCGCGGTACTGCCTCAGCTCCAGCCCCGGCGGCGGGAGCCAGGCAATGCACCGCAGTGCGGGGCCCGCGTACCCGCTGCCGCACAGCCCCCATCAGTGAGGGACCGAGGCCTCAGAGGCCCCACCCCTTCAATCCTTGGGGAAGTGAGGCAGCCTGCGAGCGCTGCAGAGCCGCTCAGTCTGCAGCCCCCACCCCTGTAGCGACCCCAGCCATCCCATTATCACCCTACCCTGCCCACCCACACCCCGCCCTGAGTAGGCTTCCCATCACTGCAGTGACCCTCCCTTCTCACTGCTGCAGTGAACCCCAGCGCCCCATCACCGTAGGACTCTTCCCCCCTAAAGCCACCCCTTTCTTCTGCAAAATGCTCTTTAATTATTGCAGAAATCCTCCCCCATTTCTGCAGGTACCTTTAGCAGTTGTGGTCACTTCAGTGACCACTCACCCCAAGCGACGCTCCCCCATCACTGCAGCGACTTCCCCGCACCAGGAAGCAGCCAGCCTTGCCATCACTGCAGCGCCATCCTCCTACTCTTGCTGGGGGTGGGGAGGATGTGCAGGATGATTCCCTTAGGCTATAACCCCCGGGTTTCTGACGTTACCTGGGGCCTTGAGAATGAAGCCTTTCAGCCTTATGGCTGCAGACTGTCCCTGTCACAGAGGTGACCCCCGTCCCCACACACCCATTCCTGCAGCGCCTCAGGAGAAAACATCTCTGCTTCTAAAAGAGGTCCCTTGTTATTGACAGAATTTTCATGTGGTTGACACTGTTCCCCTGCAGATTAGGAAAGTCTGTAAAACTTCTTCCAGGAAGTGAGGGTGTTTAAGGGTCACACATGCAAGCATTCTTACAGATGCCCCACTCATTCTGCAAAGAGAGCTTGAGGAGAGCTGGGTGTGGGGCAGCCACTGGGGAGCAGGCTTTCATGACAGGCTCAGGGTTCTTACCCCCCACCCCTTAACTCCATCCTTTTAATTCCAATCACACTGGCCCCCAGGGGATATCCTGCCTCCTGGAGCACCTGAGCCCTTAACCCCAACCCTCTGCCTTGCTTAAACCACTTAGCATAATAGAGATGGCTTGGCCTTTCCTAGAAACTTCAGGGTGGAAATGCACAAGGACAATATAGAAAGCACAGACACTGTCACAACAGTGTAGTCCACAGGACACTCCAGCTGGGTCCCAGCTCTGTTTCTTCCATACTGTCTGAGCCACTAACCTCTATTCTCCTTTCTCTGCTGAATCCACCCCAGTCTCAACACTAGGGAGAATTAGTGGATGAGCTGGGTGGTCCCTTCAGGGTGATACAGGCTCCCAGGCAATACTAGCCTTGCTCTTGAGAGCCCCATGGAGACCCAGGCAGTGCCCACCTTCCCCAAGGACTTTATGTTCTGTTCCTTCAGCAAATGAATCAGAGCCATGTGTGGCCCTCAGGCCAAGTATGCAGGAAGCTGTCACCTGGGAGACTTGTACACATAGAAATGGAAGAAGATGCCCTTGTCTTTGGTCCTGAGGAGAACTTGAATATAAGACAGTCTTCCAGGAAGATGGTGTCCTTATGGGAGATCACACACACATGGGCAGAAGCCATACTGCGCTGGAAGCAAAATTGGCCCTGAGATCCTGTTGGGAAAGCTGTCTTAGCTGAGGCAAACCAAGGCAGAGACAAGACAGCCGCTCCACAAGACACCTAGACCATGTTGCAGGGTGGGGCAGGCCAGTGCAGGCTTCTTGGCACCACTGGGTAGGGACACCAAAAAGGGGTTCTGAGGTCCAGTTAGAAGGCACTTTGGTGGTGGGGTGTCAAAATGGTAGCTGAAGGTAAGAGAGGACAGCACAGCCACAGAGGGTTCAGGCGCTTGGTTCCAGGAGTTGGAGGAGATATGATGTAGTTAAGGGATGCCTGGGGCTAGTGTGAGCTGCTGAGTGCTAGGCAGAGGAGAGGGGTTGAGGCTAAATAACTGAAAAAACTCAGCCTCTGCCTTAAAGAAGTTTACACCGAGTTGGGTGACCTAGGCGCTATGGTGCAAGCCTATAATCCCACAGTTTGGAAGTCTGAGGTAGGAGGATCCTAAGTTCAAGGCCAGCCTTAGCAATTTATTGAGGCCCTAAGCAACTTAGCAAGATCCTGTCTCAAAAAATGGAAAGGGCTGGGGTTGTGGCTCAGTGGTTAAGTAGTTAAGTGTCCCTGGATTCAATTCCCAAGACCAAAAAAAAAGGGGGGGGGTCAGGTTAACATACACACACAGCCAATGTAGACTAAGATAAGCGCTGCATTACAAAGGAATAATGGGTGTTATAAAAGCTTTTAACAAACAGCAGCCTTATATAAGAGGGACACTTGCTGGGAGAAAGTATTTAAGTTGAGTCCTAAATGGGAATTAGGTCGTGAAGGGGAAGGTGTTTCTTCAGAGGGATCAACCTGGAAACTGTGAGAGATCCAGAGGGGGTGAAAAATACAAGTAGATATGTGTTTTCTTGTCTTAGTCAACATTTTGGAGTGCTTAGCATCAGCTGACTGTGTAGATTAGTGGTAGAATAAGTGTTTAGCACATGCAAGGCCCTGGGTTCACTCCCCAGCACCAAAATCAGTATCACCACCACCATCATCATTGTCAAAGCAGCCCTAAAAGATAGATACTACTATTATCTTATAGATGAAAAGATAGATATTACTATTATCTTACACTTTTCTTCGCAGCACCCAGAGAATAGAAGCTCAGAGAATTAAGTAATTTGCTCACAAGCTGTGGTAGAGCTAAGCCGCGTGGCCTTCTATAATCCAAGCTTCTTAGGATGCTGATGCAGGAGGATCACAAGTTGGAGATCAGCCTGGGCAACTTAGGGAGACTCTGTCTCAAAAAAATAAAAAAAGAGGGCTGGAGATATAGCTCAGTGGCAGGGGCCCATCAAGCTCAATCCTTAGTACCACAGACAAACAGAAAGTGGTAGAACCAAGATGTTGAACTCAGACCGTCTGGCCAGAAACTTTGTTTTTATTATTATTTTGCACTGCAGATTGAACCCAATGGTGCTTTACCACTGAGCTCTATCCCCAGCTTTTTTTATTTTGAGACAGGGTCTTGCTCAATTGCTGAGGGTGTCCTTAATTTGCTGAGGCCTCAAATTAGCAATCCTTCTGCCTCAGCTTCCCAAGTCTCAAGGATTATAGCATGTGACAATTCACCCTGCTAGAAACCTTGCTTTGAATTACTACTATAGATAATGTGGCTTTCTTTTAAAATTTTTGTATATTTATTCATTTACTGAAGATGAGGTTATGCTATGTTGCTCCCTCTGGCTTTGAATTCCTGGGCTCAAGCGATTGTCCCACCACAATCCCATTTCCCCACCTCAGTAGCTGGAACTGTAGATACATAACCCCATGCCCCGCTTTCTTTTTTCATTCTCTCCTGACCCCCTGCACTGGGAATTTTGTTATTGGTTCTTTTTAGTTATATATGACAGTAGATACATTTTTATATAATTATATACACATGGAATATATCTAGTTTGAGTCCCATTCTTATGGTCGTACATGATGGTGGTATTCACTATGTCAGATTCATTCCACTGTCTTTTTTTTTTTTCCTGTCCCCCCACCTTCTCTCCATTCCTCATTGTCTAATCTATTTCACTTATATTCCTTCCCTCAAACCACCCCCTACATTATTGTGGGTTAGTGTCTACCTATTAAAGAAAGCATTCAAACTTTGGTTTTGTGGGACTGGCTTACTTCACTTAGCATGATAGTTTCCAGATCCATCCATTTGCTGGCAAATGTCATAAAGTCATTCTTCTTTATGGCTGAGTAATATTCC